TACTGCTCAGCAACGAGAAAGAATGAACTACATGAACGAATCTCGCAAATATAATGTGAGTTAAAGAAGCTAGACACACAAGAGTACATATGGATGATTCATCTGAATAAAGTTTAAACACTAGCCTATGATGTTAGAAGTCAGGGTAGAGGTTAATTTTTAGGGAGACTGGAAGGAGCACGAAGGAACTTCTAGGGTGCTGGAGATGTTATGTTTCTTGATCTGGGTCCTGGCTACATGAATGTGTTCACCTTGTGAAAAATCATGGATCCATAAAAATATAGGTACTATTTCATAAGTATGTTGTACTTGACAAAAATTTTGGCAAGGAGGCTTCATATAAAGTAGGGGTTAGAAGACCTTCTCAACCAAGGTTGGAAATCTAGGAGATTAAAAAGTTAGATGTTTTTGCATATATATATATGTTTAAAGCATTTTTATGGCAAAAGATACTGCAAGCAATGTCAAAAGACAAGCAGTAGATTTGGAAAACAATATTTGTAATGAAAATGATAAACACAGGTTAGAAGCTGTAATATGCAAAGAGCTATCAATTGATAAGATAAACAACCCAACAGAGAAATAGACAAAATGATACAAATAGGCAATTCAGAGAACAAAAATATCCAACTGTATAGAAAGATGTTCAAGTCCATTAGAATTCAGTGGAATGTAAATTAAAGTAATAAAAAGATACTAGTTTGCACCCTCCAGGCTGGCAAAATTAAAAAGAGTTTCTGCATCTATTTTATGTGTGTGTGTGGGGGGAATTGTGCTTTTAATCATTGCTGGTGGAGATGTGAATTATTACAGCCATTTTGGAAATCAATCTGGAAAAACCCATTAAAATTAAAAATACATATGTCCTTTGACCTAGCAATCCCCCTCCCGGGAATCTATTCCAGAGAAATAAAGGCATCCACCTAAAGGCCCGTATACAAGGGTGTTTACGCAGCCTGATCGTAGAGGGGCCGACATGATGCGTGTGTGTGCAGACACACACATGCATGCACAGCCTGGAAACAAAGCAAATGCCTCTCAGCAGGGAAGTGGTGTAAATGATGGTGCTCTCCCTTAGGGCTCACAGTCCAGAGGCCCTGGGTAAACTGCTATCTTTTCAGTCCACAGGAGGTCTCCTCCTGGAGCACTGGATAGGTGGGCAGTTGTGAATGATTAGAAGCCCCATGATTCCCGCCAGTAGCCAGCAGCATTGATTCCAAAGCAGGATTTGGAGGAAGGATCATTTGGGATGGAGGCATTCCTACAGCTCCTCTTGGTGGGGCCTCCAGGATCAAAGAAGGGACCCCAACAAGGGAGGGCCATGGGGGTGGCTGTTACAGATATTCAAGGCCTGTCACACCTACAGTGGCTTTTTTAAGCCAAAGCCAGGCAAAAAATCCTGCTAATTGAAGGGGATCAATTGCAAATAATTATTTCTCAAAACCCTCTCTCCCTTCTGATGTTTGTGATCAAGTCACATCTCCATCCACCTGCAGCTCTCTGTCTTGAGTGAATTCAAATGTGTAGTGGGAGCACCTGGGTGGCGCAGTCAGTTAAGCATCTGACTCTTGGTCTCAGCTCAGGTTTCGATCTCAGGGTCATGAGTTCAAGCCCTGAGTTGGGCTCCACGGTGGACATGGAGCCTACTTAAAAAAAAAAAACAAAACCAAAACTTAAAATGTGGAGCGAACTCACTAAGCTGCAGTCAGCTGTTGGGCAGTCCTGGCCTAGCTTAGGAAGGCAGCTCTAAATAGGCCTCTACCCTAAATGGAAACCCACATAGTATGTGTGTAAATATTTAAAATTATAAACCAAGCCAATAAACTCTTAGTAAAAATATTTTATCCTCCTGCCTTAAAAAATATGCCCTTGTAAGATCGAAAACAAATTTAAAGAGTGTAACACTGTGATTTTTATATGAATAAAAGTAGGCAAGGCAGTAAAGAAGATGGAATTTAATTGTTTTTGCACATAGTTGGATATTCTGTTGATTGGCTGCTGATGTGTAGATGGGTAATAAAATAAAAATATACGTAATTCATAAATTATTATGTATCTTTTTATTAACTTAATTTTTCTTGCCTTCCTTATTGCAAGATTAATTGTTATAATCAAGTTTTTTGCACCATTTATGTTCTATTGCAAATTGGTGCCAAGTTAGACTCTGTTTTTTGAGTCATAATTCTTAGATACTTTTAAAAATTAATTTCAATTTAGAGAAAGTTTCAGAAAGAAGTGGAATTGTCACAAAAAAATCTTAAACACAATATTTAAATTTGGAAATGAATCATGAATCGTACATATCCTGTTCAAATACTTTAACGGAATTACATAAGGTAAATTTATCATGACTGCCCCAAATCTTACAAAATATTTTAATTTCACAATATGAATTTCTACCTCTTCTACTGTAAATTTCACCATGTCTTAAAGTAATATCTAGAGTCACGCTAGGATGTGAAGCATTAGCTACACACATGACATCTATAGTTACGTATATACAGATTACAGAGGTAAAGTGTTAATATGGCAAAATGTTCTGCAGCCGCCACGTACACCCGTCTGTACCACACTAATTCGTGAGTACCCCCCGGACCATGAACTGGAGCACGCAGAGAAGCATGAAAATGGACGTGTACCCTCCTGGGAAATGCTACTTCACTCTGTAAGAAACTATTGCATTCATGCTATCTGAGTAAAAGGATTTGACAAGTTAATTAATTTGTCTTTTTTCTTTCTTAAGTGCTTCTGCCACTCAAATCTTCCTCTTACTCTGAAGCAGTGTCTGTCTCTCATGTCGGCAGAAGAACAACCCAGAAACCTTTGTGACTTTCAGACACAGTTGCTTTTTGTGTTGCCCGAGAGGGGCAGAAGATGCGGAGCGGCGTTTGGCGGGGTCCCAAACGGTGTGGTCACCCAAGCTGATGTCTAGGCTTCAGGCTGCACTCTGCCAGGGCTCAGCACCAGCTCCCATGTGCTCCTCGCTTTAGTTCTGGAGTATTCATGATATCTTGGGACCTTCTAAGGCAGGGCTTTGCAAACTTTCTGCAGCGCAGGATCGGTTTTCAATTTTCCCATCCAATACGGACCAGTTCTTTTGTACAAATCCAA